AAAAGATCATCATCGCCGAGGAAATTGACATTCTCTGCGATGACAACGCGCGGGATCTTGTACAGCGGATCGCTCCGGTGCACATGCTGCACGGGCTGGAACTCGCGATCAGGTATCGCACCTGATAGATGTACTGCGCTTAATCACGTACCTCAAAGTAGTTGTACTACAGAAAGCGTCATTTGACGGGGCAGAGGGACCCTGACAAGTACTGTAGGCGACATACAGGTAGTCTTCCTGTAAACGGCAGCTTTCAGCCGGCCGCTTTCTCAAGAGCGTCCATCTCTCCGTGCAGTGTCGCCGATCCTTTCTGGATGCGCTGATTGCGCCCTTGTCCGACGACCGCTCCGGTCGACGTATCGATGATGGCGGACCCGATTGGGATGCCGCCCTCCTGGTATTCTTTCTTGGCTTGCTCGTATGCGAGCTGAAGCCGAGAGCGTCGTGTTCAGCCATGCTTAGATTGTTAAAGACGGAGCGAAGAGATAGTGTCACGTGCTGTGTGAGACTGAGACATCTCGTTCGCCGAACCGCCTGATCTTTTTCGGCCGAAGGAGAAAGCAAGAGGTCATCTTGCACGACTCATCTCATGATTGTACTGAGCTACCTCAAGCACCAAGCAAGTGAGCTGTAAAACTTCTCGTACCGCGCAGAGATTGCAATTCTGATTCATATCTTGTCCCTCATTGTTGGCGCGGTCAGAAGCAGTGCTATTTCATCCTGTCACATGGGCGCGTCGATGTCCACGGTTGTAAACGTATGACTTTGGGTGTATTGTCGACGCCCTTTGTAGAAAACTGTCGCAGCGAATCGCAGCCAGCAGCGCACACTGTCTGTTCAAGATATGATCAATTCTAGCTGAAATCGAGAAGCGCCATTTCTTGCTGTGAGCCGTGCATATTGTTTTCTTGTAGCGGTCACATGCGAAGGTTGGCCATCTCGCGATCGAGGAAAGATGACACTGAGCGCCAGCACTTGATCCGAGAAGTCGCGATAGACGAGATCAACGACTTTCAGTCCGCATTCAGGCGCGGAATGCGACGAAGCGAGTCGGCGACAGCTTCTCAGACGAAGGAGACCTGGCGGGAATGTTCACCGAAGCCGTAAAAACCACTCCCGTTGTTCAGCTGCTGCCGCATGCTGGGCTACGACGGAGACTTTGACGCGGGGCAACATGTTCTCGAGCTGGTGGTAGAGATAGAATCGTTGAATGGGTCATCGGAGGTCGCTCGAGAATCATCTGTGCGAGCTCGTTCCAATCCATTGCTGGTGACTCGCTCACGCGGGAAACCGGGCTTCGAATTCGAAGAAAAAGCTCGGCTTCCCATGCATCGCACTTTGTCGCGGATAGATCAACCGTTCCGCCCGGTCCACGGAGAATGTCCGGCCTTGTCGTATAAGGTGTGCGCCACTACACTGATCGGAATGCATCAAGATATGTAATCTCCAGAGCATCTGCCAGGAGGGGACGGATTGGTCACACCCGGTGGTCTTGTCCGTGACAACACGATCGGGGATCTCAGTTGTGGTGACTTGACTGCAGATGGAAATGACGCTGAGCTAACTTGACTCCTCTGGACGTTACTAATAAGCTCGCGCAAGTCGCCCAGCGGCTCCGAAGAAACAGGCACACCGTACTTGGTCACAACAACATACAGTTTGCCGAGCTTGAACACAGGGCGTGGGAGAGCCATGGTCCCCTCAGCTAGTTTCTTCGGTTCGCTATCCGTACATACCGAGTCCACAATTGACAGCAGAGGGAATGCCGAAAAAGCCAAGAATCCAAAGACTGCGAGAGTCCAGTCGTTTGTGGGCCGTGGCCGAGTATGCCAACGGGAATAACGTTGTCGCATAGCGTGAGCTTATTGGGTAGAGAAAGGGAGAGCAAGGGGTTGCTCCAGAGCAACCTGCTTCGTGAGGCACTTAGACACCTGAAAGGCACAAGTGATCCAGAGAAAGGACCGTTGAGCCCCAAAAATGGTCCGCATCGCTAGAGGTTTGATCCCTCGGAGTACTTGAGTTCTGAAAAGTGACCACACCGCAACACCAGCGAGCTGAGCCAGTCAATGGAAAGCATTGTCATGGGAGTGGTCGCTGCCAAAGACGTCTCGGCACATGCCGAGGCTTGGGAAAACGGCACTCCAAATACTCATCAACAAAGTCCATCTTCAAGAACGTCGAGAGCGTCGGCAAGGACCCCTTAACGTGTCTCGAACGGTAGACGTAGGTGGAGGAAATCATGGACGCTGGGATGGTGCACCAAAACTCGATGGTCGAGCGCAGTCTTTCGCACGAATGTGGCACACCGAGTTTCCACCCCAACGACAACAACATTCCCATCGATCCGGCCCTGGGGGGAATGCCCATTGACCCTGAGCCGCAAGAAGAGCTTCCAGAAGTGCATCTTCCTGAGGTGAGTTGAGTAGTTCTCGACTTTTCGCGCACTTCTACGCGTCGCGTCGGGTCAACAACAGGAATTCATCACTGAGACTTGCCTTACTCTCAGGAAATCGAAGAAGACGCCGAACCAAGCTCTCCCGCACACGAGCAGCAGCACTTGTACCAAGACCACTACTCCCAGGTTCCACATGGAGATCCGTTTGCGCCTGAGCCAGAATATCGCCCTCAACCAATGTTGGTTGACAATGCGACACCCTCGCCCTTGCCACCGTCGAATATGAAACAATCCGCCAAGCGCAAGCGACCGCAATGCATTTCCTGCAAAAGTGCTTCGAAGGGCAGAGGCGGCGTGGACAAAATGATCACCTGCCCGGACTGCGAGCGCACATGTACGCTGGGGTCTCAGTACTCCGAACCCTCACATTTCTCACGTCTTCGCAGCACATATCGCTTGCTTGAATCTTCCCCCTATTGCTGCGGAAGCGATTCAAACATATGACTGGATTTGCACGGACTGTAAACGCTGCGAGGAGTGTAACACGAAAGGGGACGAGGTATGCGTCTAGTACCTGCTCTACACTTTCGTTACTGCGTTGACTAACGCACTTACAGGATCAAATCCTCTTCTGCGACTCTTGTGATCGAGGTATGGAGAGACTTGATGCCAATCGCTATGATTCTCACTCCTTACTTTAGGGTTTCATATGTACTGCCTGAATCCGCCCATGGAGACCACACCTGCAGACAACTGGTATTGTCCACGGTGTCCCCACGCCTCTACATCGGAACGTGCCAACTCAATCGCATCATCCTCCCGCTTGCCAGCCACTCCGACGACCCCCAAACGAAAGCGCAAGTCTAAAGCTCCGGTCGCAATGGCAGAGGAGGAGGATGTCGACGCCGAGGGTGAAGCGGAGTATGCAGACGGGGAACAAGGCGATGAGATGATCGTTGATGGGCCTGTGGCCGCTTTTCCTCCTCGGCAAAGGGCCAAAGCCAAGAAGAGGGCGAGCGAACCCGGCTCAGTGACCAAGTCTGTGAAGCGCATCCGCGTGCGGGCACCAACTCAACCTGATGAGCCACTGTCATCGGGACCCACAGTAAGGTTGCGACTACCCAAAGGCAGGCGAGAAGAGGAAGAGGAAGAGATGGCCGCGGGTCCATTCGTCGAGATTTTGTTACCCGAGGAACGAGATACGTCCAAAACTTCTATATTGGCTTCAGATAAGCAAAGATTCGAGAGGAGTCGTGCCGTCGCAGAGGTGAGTCGTGACCTGGGGGGATGCGAGCGAACGTACTCATGATCATAGGTCAAGCTGAAGCCAGCTCCAACTCCAATACACCCTTCTGACACCGATGATCTCTCTTATCGACCCCTTCGTTCTGCCTTTGCACCTCCGCCCCAAACAACACTCCCCTCTCCGTCAGCATCTCCAGCTCCATCGTCAGCCTCCGCGCTGGGCCACCCTCATGGCGGGATGAATCGTATCAAGACGATACGGTTCGGTCAGTTCGATATCGACACGTGGTATAACGCACCGTTCCCTGAAGAGTATTCGAACATTCCCGATGGTCGGCTGTGGATATGCGAGTTTTGCCTGAAATATATGAAGAGTCGGTTCGTTGCCAACAGACATCGGGTGCGTGGTTTCCTCGTGGTCTGATAGCACCGCTCATGTGCCCTTAGACGAAGTGCAAAGCAAGAAGTCCGCCGGGTGACGAAATATACCGGGACAACTCGGTTTCGATCTTTGAAGTTGATGGGCGAAAGAACAAGGTGTGTATGCACGTTGGCGGCTTTTATACCCGCTTACGTCACCCAGATCTACTGCCAAAACCTGTGTCTGCTGTCCAAAATGTTTCTGGATCACAAATCTCTGTTCTATGACGTGGAGCCGTTTCTGTTCTACGTGATCACCGAGGTGGATGATTGCGGTGCGCGCTTTGTCGGATATTTCAGCAAGGAGAAGCGGTGTCCCAAGGATTACAACGTCAGTTGTATCATGACGCTTCCTGTCAGGCAGCGGTCCGGCTGGGGCAACATGCTCATCGACTTCAGTATGCTTCTTTCTCTTATTGCTGAAAATTGCCGCTGAAATGCTGTAGGCTACTTGTTGTCCAAGAAAGAGAAACGGATGGGCTCGCCTGAGAAGCCGCTGTCAGGATTGGGCGCCCTAGGGTACAAGAGCTACTGGACGCTAGCGCTGATGCGTTATCTTGTGACGGCCCCGGCCCATCCTCGGATCGAAGGTTGGTTGGTTCTGATTGTGGAGAAACTGCCTCTCACTGGAAAGCAGACATCTGCTATTCGACCTCAATGACCATAGAGGATGTATACACAACATTGGTTCAGCAGCGAATGATCACGGTCAAAGAAGTCGCAGTCATACAGGTGAAACCCTCACCCGGCCAATCAATCAAATACCCCAAGGGCCGGAAGAACGGAGTTGCACGGAGACATCTGCAACGAATGCAGACGGCGGACAAGACCAAGGCAGTTGACAAGGACACGACCGATTTCGTACCTCCGACAGATTACGACATCGACTGGGACCCGGAAACGGTCAAGACGTATCTGCAGAACTGGCAAGACAAGCATTACCTCCAGCTGAACCCGCAAAAGCTGCAATGGTCGCCATACATCTCTCCCAATATCCCTGGCAACGAGCCTTCTTCCACTGCAGACATTGGCTCTTTGATGACGACGGAGAAGATGTGTGCTCTCGGCCTCTTGGATATGAATGCATCACGTCCTCCCATTATGGGCACACCCAAGTTCGCTTCGCGGCGCAGCGTGTCCCCTGTTGTAGAAGAAGCGCTGCCGGTCCAATCACCCGCACACGAAACCCCGCGGGCACTGCGAAGCACTCGTTCCAGGGCCTCCAACCCGCACACCCCGATCACGCCAGCACTGCGGAGTTCTCGGAAAGGCAAACAGCGGCAGATCCGGACGCCGGACTCGGAGGATGATACGCGTCGGCCCAGATCAAAAGCGGCGCCAGGCCTGCTCCAGCGCACGTCCTTTGCACGCAGCTCGACCAGAAAGTCCAGTCGGGTCGAGTCGTCTCCCGACGACGAAGGAAGCTCTGCGTCGGGTCCTCTGGCGACACCGACCCCGACCGACGACGGCATGTGTCTGCCCAACGGCTCGATCTGCGCGAAATTGGAGGAGGAAGATCCCGAAAGCGACGAGACGGTCGTTGGTCTACGAGTCGGGGCTATGCCAGATCCCAATCCGAAATCAAACGGTGTCAATGGAGCGCTCGCGTTTCTCAACGCCGCCTGGGACGCAGACGAGAAGATGGTGGTCGACGAGCCCGATATTGATGCAGAAGGAGAGGAGGAGGATGTCGAGATGCCCGTCGCTTAGTTTTTGTGGTTATTGTATGTAATGTACATATTTTTGTAGGCAGATAGGTCGCTCGATGAGACCGGAACTTTCACACGTGACTTGGCTTGAGGAAATCAGTGACATGCCATTGATGAATCCTCAATTTCGACCTGCAACGACTGGGTAGTTCTGGGAGTACAAAGTTGATATTACGTTTCCGCACAGACTACAGTTGGAAAGGCGGACTCAGATTGGGACAGTGTTTTTCGGATCGCATGGCTGGACCAGCCAAGAAGCAGTTCGCTGAGGAGGGCCAGGAGAGTCGTCATCCAGTTTGCCTTCGTCTTGGTCTTCAATTGGGCGTCCTCGCTTGACCAAACGAGGAGTACTTGGTGGAATTGTGGACTCCACCGATCCGGGGAGGTTTTCAATGCTTTCAGTGAGAATGGCAATGATCTGGTCGTACTCTTTCACCGCTTGCTGCGCCGAAATGTGGGTAACAGGACAGTTTCGGCTCTAATAGCAGAGACGACTTCGACAGTCAACACACGCCGTCCGAAAAACTGGGCCAGTGCCTTCAGAACGACATCTGCTTCCTCCTCGAAACCAGGCCATCGGAGGATCGTAGCCCAGAGGTAGGTCTTGATCACGAATTTGATCTTGGAGAAGATGGCGGAATTGGCGCTGTAATGGTCCCAATGCTGGAAGCAGTCCTGTACTTGGTTTTGAAACCCGTCATAGTCCATTACGGCACGGGAGCAAACATACAGGAGCGATGCGAGATCGTCCACGCCGTCCTGATGATGGGGTTGGTCTTGAGGTCTGGATCTTATCGACCATGCTCAGCACTTTGACGGATTGATATGCGGTGGTACCGTAGACGTACATTTAGGAGCGGAAAGTTGGCGGGGCGGTAAAGCACTCACTGTGCGAGCATCTTCTTCCGTCACAACACGACACTGCATGTCTTTGATATAGACAGCCATGTCCCAGTCGATGATCACGGAATGGGCCCATGGCCGTCCCGACAAGAGCAAATTCGTAAAGCTGATATCTCGGTGCAGAATGCCTTTATCCACGAGCGCTGCCTTGTGTCCTACGAGACCAGCATATTAGAGTTAGGGACGGCGACCTGAGAAAAGACTCACCTCGCACAATCGAGCGCGTACCAAGAAACTCCCGGAGCGATGCCGTCGTCTCGAGTGTGCCAGCATACCGCAGAGTCACCGCGACACCACTTGCACAGGTGTCTCGCCAGCGGACACCACCATCTTCGCGTCAGGTGCAAACCTGCGGCCGGTGTGGGTCGCCTTAATATCTCGTTGCCGAATGAACATCTGTGCAACGCCATCGATTCCAGCGAGATCGTAGAGAAAGATCGATTCGCTCGTTCGGCCCTCGGCACGCCAGTAGTCCTTGATGAAATACTCTTCGCCGTCGTGCGTGCCCACCCAGCACACAGTCCCCCGCGGTCGGATTGTGCGCCTCGAGAACACCGGATCGTCCTCTAGGGCGAACGTGATCGCCGCACGCTGCTCGTTGGGTTTCCATTTGCGCTCCTCCGGCACAAAGCTCAATCGTTTGCCGTCCCTCCAGAAGATCGACGTGTCGAAACCCACAAGTTTCTCGTCGGTGGAGGTGAGCAGAAACACGAGCTGGACGAAGAACACCGCGTCCTCATGGTAGTCGATCTGCTGAGAGGAGTGGCAGCCCGATCGGTTGTACCGGCACACGCGGAAGGTGCCGCCAGTGATAAGCGTCGCGTGCACAAATCGCAGGTTCGGCTGTTGGATGAATGTCTCCCGCATACACCGCGATCTGCTGCTGCTGCTGCTCGGTGAGGAACGCCGGATCCACCTTCCCACGGACTGACCACCTGGGAATACGTGGATTTCTGCACGATCGCACGTTTTTGGTCGCTGACGGGCCGACGCCGAGAATCGCGATGTCGGGCTCGGATCGGAGGCCCTGGGCGTTGGCTCCGTCGTTCGCGTTGTGCGGGATCTCCACGTTGTACGACTTGACGGCGCGACGTTCAATATCTCCAGACGCCGTCGCCTTCTTCAAGTTATCGAAACGCTCCATGATGACGGTCATTGCGGCGACGAGTGGGGCATACAAGTCGACCTCCTTCCTCGAATTGCCGGCCTTCTTGATCGCGAGCCAGACTTTCTTCCTGTGGCTGTAACTACTAACCGTAGTACTGATCGAGAAAGCCGCCAGCATCCTGCGTAGTGCGACCTTTGGCTTCTGCGAGTGCCTTGAGGTGGGATTTGAAAGGGAGGGTTGTGCGGTCCTCTTCGACATGTGCAACTTCGAGCTCGAGCTGAACGGCAAGTTACAGGAAAGATTTGTAGAGGGTTGCGACACTAGTCAGCTGATCGCATTGTTATGCCAAACGCGCTCATGTGATCTCCGGTTCTGAATTGAAAATCCCTCAATCTTGTTTTTCACGCGACTCTGGAGACCCATTTGCACCGTTTTCGTATGCAGAACTGTTGTCGCGAAACTAAACCCTAAGGAGGCAAATCTGAGAAATTCCATCAGTAGGCAGGCCCAACGCAAACCTGCATGATTTCGACGAGGGTGGCATGTGTACTCGTACGCTGAAAAGTTGAACCAACCTCTCCCGTCTGCCCATTCATTCAGAATCACATGAATGGTTGCGAGCTCGATTCAATGCGAGCAGTTCGCGATCGTACTACAGGCGTGACATCTCGGATCAGTGATGAATCGATGACGCGCCAGACAGGTCCTTCTGCAAACAGGCTATAAATACCCGTTGCATCACCACATCCTTTCCCAGCACTAGCACAAGTACGAGCATGGCCGTCCTTTCCCGACTCATCCCTAGCGCAACGAGCGCCTATCTACTCCAAGCAGGTGAGTACTGGTCTGTGGATCGTCACGCGTGATCCTGACATGGTTGCTCGTCCCAATCCAGCACTGGCTCTGATCTTCGTCCCACAACAGAATGAAAAGTACTACGATCTGGGCGGTGCGGCAGGCTTTCTGAGCACCTCTCTTCTGTCGCTCTACTATCCCGCTCTCAAAGCCAAGTTCAATCACGGCGTCCCGCTCCCTCCAATCACGTCCTTCGCGCCACGCCAGTTGCTGGTGACTGCTGCTCTCGGACTCTGGAGCGCACGGCTGGGATCTTTCTTGGTTGCAGTGCGTTTCTTTCCTTCCTTCTCGGACGGGCTCGTTGATCAAGACGCGACTCTAGAGGGCGCTCAAGGCCGGTGGCGACTCGCGTTTCGACGAGGTGAAGAAGGATCCCAAACGTTTCAGTTTCTTCTGGTTCGCACAAGGTTCGTCCTTCAACCCTTTATTTCCTTCCGCCTCCTCCTGAAGCGCCCTAGCGACCTGGGTTTTCGTGGTTGGCCTTCCTGTGTACCTCGTCAACACCGTGCCACCGGTGTTGCACCCAGCTCTCTCCCGCCGCGACTACCTCGCCCTCGGCTTGTTTGCTGGATCATTCCTGTTCGAAGTCATCGCGGACCGGCAAAAAACTCAATGGCGACGCGCCAAAGACGCGAAACGTCATGACGAGAACTTCATATCCAGTGGACTGTGGGCTATTTCCCGGCATCCCAAGTGGGCGATCGTTTCGCCGTTGATACGTCACTCTGAACGCACGCATTTGACAGCTATGTCGGCGAAGTAGGCATCCACATCGGCATCTGGGCTCTCGCTACGGGAAGTCTGACCAGCATTCACTTTCCAACGGGGACCGCCGTCGCTGCGCTTGCCAGCCCGTTGCTCACCTACTTCTTACTTCGAAAGGTCGAAACCATAGTCGCTTCCGCCCGTTCATTCGTTAACGATGTAACTCAGGTTTCCGGAGTTCCTCCGCTGGAGAAAGCCGGCGACAAGAAGTTTGGAGCTGATCCGAAGTGGCAGCAGTACAAGCGGTGAGTTTATGATCTGTCTTGCTTCTCCCCCAAGTCTCATGCAGTCCGAAGCACGGTACCGGTGTTCTGGCCCTGGGGCCCTTTGGAGTGATTGGTCGTGTTATGATAAATTTCAGGCAACGGGTTGGACAGTGTATGTAAGTCAGCGTTTGTGAAAGTGTATACAAAACAAGAAATAGGATTTGTCGACACGCGGCGAATTCAGTCAACGAGCGCAAGATATATGTAGCCACCTGGTTTGAGCTCAGAAGCACTGAGATCTTGATGCATGCCTTTGAGAGGAGAAAGGACCAAAGTCGCATTCAGGCGTGGGACGAGATAGTGTTCGAAAGACGCAGATGAGTGCTAACTAGGCATGAGTTTCTCTGTCTTGGGAGTTGTGTGACAGACGTCCATGTTGCAGATATTTCCATTAGCATGTCTGTCGCGGTCGAAATTCAGGGAATTCAGCTAGTGAGATATTCTACATATCCTAGGGTCTGGATAGAGCAACAGAGGGGTATTATTCGAGGCGAATTTAGTGATAGCTTCTGCCTAGTCTCCTGCACGCCTAGTCCAGATGTAAGCAGGTGGTTGAGACCAGATGTTGTGACGCAACATGTCACGCACTGTAGCGTCAAGCTTTACCCGAACTCTACTTATCGACTTCACCAGAGATTCTGGCTAAACCAATTCTTCGCTCTTCGCATGTTGAGAAACCATGACCAAGTTCTCGTTCAATTAAACCTGAAAGATACTCTTGTTTTGTGGGAATGTCCGACAATTCCATATCATCGACAATGTTGGCCGCAGGCGAGACTACGGAGATAAGAGAAGGCTTTCACCACAGATAAGATCCCCAATTCTTTGTCTCTGCGACCGCCTGTCTCTTCCCACCTCCGGCAATGATCAGCGCCAGTCTCGTTCTCGCTGCATGCGCCTTTGCGGGAATCGCCGACGCGCATCCGTACCATGATCAGCAGCCGATGGCCCACGATTTGGAGCGTCTTGTCGATGTCATCGACGTGACGACCGAGCCGTGGGGAAGCAAATTCGGCCTCCAGACTGACCTGCCGTACTCCGGCCCGCTGAGCTTCGCGCATCTACCGTACAGCAAGTGTCTGGAAGACGGCCAGTCGCGGTTCGATATCGCTATCTTGGGATTGCCCTTCGACACGACGACGTCCTACCGACCCGGTGCGCTTTCTTTCGTCACATGATATGCTGTTTCTCTGTTATTGAATATGACACAGGTGCACGCTTTGGTCCTACGGGAATCCGCATTGGCTCCAGGAGGCAGCACATCGAGGGCTACACTCTGGCGTGGAACTCTAGCCCGCACGAGCTTGGAGCGAGCATCTTGGACTGCGGAGACGTATGTCTGCATTATTCTGATCCGCTTGTGATGCTAAAATCATTCAGGTTCCTCTTACCCCGGTCGACAATGCCCAAGCACTGGAACAGATGGAAGTTGCGTATACGACACTTCTCAATCGGCCTGTTCAAGGCGGCACTAACACGGCGTACAAATCATCCACTGCTGCACTGGCAAAGGACGGATCGGAGCACCCGAGACTGGTTACGCTAGGCGGAGATCATACCATCGTACGTGATGGGGAGTAGGCGATATTGTCCCGTCGCTGATTCTCCCAGGTTCTTCCGATCCTGCGTTCGCTGAACAAGGTCTATGGACCCGTCAGGTGTGTTTTCTCGCGTATCGCTCTCAACGGAACTGAACTTTCGCCTGGGTAGCGTCATCCATTTCGATGCTCACTTGGACACATGGGCGCCTCCTCCGCTTTCCACTGGAATAGGGCGAATCAACCATGGCTCTTTCTTTGCTATCGCTGCGGAGGAGCACCTGATCGCGAATAACAGCATCCATGGCGGGATCCGCTGCCACATGGTAAACGGCCTAGTCGTATCCGTGTCCAAGTTCCTCAATACCGCGTCCCCAGGGCCGACAAGATATTGTGCACGACACCGAAGTCGGATTCCAGCTGATCAGCGCCGAAGACATTGACGACTACGGTGTTGATCAGATTATCAGCAAGATTCGCCAGAGAGTAGGAAACAGCCCGGTATATCTCAGTCTCGACATCGATGTCATCGACCCTGGTCTTGCTCCCGCTAGTGCGTCCCACTCATGGCGCAAAGTTCCACGATCACTCATCACCGGCGGCAGCCGGTACACCCGAGGTCGGCGGCTGGACTACTCGTGAGGTCAAGCGAATCTTGCGGGGACTTTCTGGCCTGAACTTCGTGCAAGTGCCTCCAAACACCTTATGCGCATCATCACTGACTGATATGCAGGGGCGCTGACGTGGTCGAGGTCGCTCCGGCGTATGATAATGGTTGGCTTCAATCGGATGTCTTTCTATTTCGTTCTGACACGGGTCTGCAGCTGATATCACGAGTATTGCGGCTGCTGAAATCATCTTCGACTTCCTCAATATGATGCAAATGGATGCACCCCCAAAGCCTCATGTCGGACCGTTCTAGATACTGTACTTTCACCCAAAATGATGCATTACTGCTATCCTTGCAAAAGTCTCCACGACTTGAACAGGTGAAAGCAAGTTCCGGGCGTAGCAAGCATGAATGCTTCAGATCACGACGGGACGAGAAGAAATGAGTAGGTACACTGCCCGACAGTAATAACTGAGAAAATAAAGAGATTAATGCCATTGTGGTGTGCCTTGCAGGCTGTCATTCTGATAATACATGCTAGACTCGAGGCCTCGTTGCTGAGAGCCGTCCCCGTCCCCTATGATACTAGAGTGGAACAACCCGAAAGCGTTCGGCGCAGAAGAAAACGTGAGCCCAGTGAATTCGGCATCGTAGGGCATTCCAAGTTGCATAGGCAAGAGGTCGCAGCTCCACAGGGAAGGAGATAGAAATGAGTGGGGTTGCAAAGGCGAGGCGGGCTGAAACCGAGAGTCCCACTGGCGCTGTTGTGCGGAGAACGACCGCCACTGCTGAGGAGAAGGGATCGGTGGCATGCTGAATCCAGGATTTTCTTCATCCGAGGGGAGGATCGACCCCGGCAAGCTATCGTCGTCGGAACCAAAGCCGTTGGGGCCCTTCACCTGCTTCTTGACTTTGCGCGGTATACCCGATGCAGCCCCAGGCGAGTAACGGCAGTTAGGATACAGCCGTGCGTGTTCTCGCTTCAGCGCTTTGGCCTCCTCAACGTACGGCCGACGTTCTTCGGGGCCCATAGCCTGCCAAACACTCCCTGCGCCACGGCTGATCTCAGTCTGTTCATGAAACAGGAGCCCAAGCGACGCGTCTTTTTGTCTGCTGTTGAAGGCGGAGCGGAAGCAGAAGAACGCGTTACGAGGGCGGGGGATGTAATGCTGTGGCGGCGAGGGCGGAGGCGAGGCGGAGGAGAGGGTGTGGGAGGTTGATTCGGGACTTGAAACTGTTGGGCTCAACGAGGTGTCCTTGTATCGCGTATCGACGCCATCTGAAAGTCATGAGCACGGAGCGCCGGGAACGGAAGGTAAGAGATCGGGCATACCAGCGGAGTCGATGTTATGAGGCCCACGCGACTTGCATTTGGAGTAGTATATTGAGGTGCGCGAAACGGGCATCTGAAATATAGCGGGAGGGGTTTGAATGGTGAAGATTGGTGTGGAGAGAGCGGGCGGGGTAATGTTGAGATCCCATGGCTGGCGGCTTCCCGAACCTTTTGAGTCACTTCCGTATGGCACAGAAAGTCAGTGTCCATAGGCGTGGGACAACCAGCCCTCCTCATTAGCACGTCGAGGCAAGACTCGTGGCGAGATTGTATGTCGATCATGATCGAATTGCCTTTTTAGACTGAAGGATCACGTTTTTCCGCGTCTTGTGGTCAGACTTTGGACAGATCCTCTATCTGATCCCTATGTACTGGGATGCGGTGCCCCATTGACAAAGGGAACCATCAAAGCGCGATCCTTGGGCGGTAGTTTGAGATATGAAGTCAATCCCTCCACGATGCGCTATCGCAAGACCCACCTGGGCACGCTTTGGCGGCTGCCCATGGGCAGGTGGAAACAGCTAATAAGATTGAGAATCTTCTCGATAGCATAGGTCGACGTCATCGTAGTGACCGAATATCTGGACGAAGGATCCCGGCATGAAGCTCCGAGAGGCGAATGCAGAAAGGCTGAAATTATGAACAAGACAGTGAATAAGCACAATTATCTTGGAGTCCAAGGCTACGGACTCACGAGCCAAGATCCAGGCCCAAATGCGACCGGTCACCGGCACGTGCTCAATGTGATCAGGATCAGGTGACGGGACGCCCGCCTTGGACCTCCGACTGACCCAGATCCAGCGCGCACCGAAAGGCAAAAGGAAAATGTCTCACAGCATCACGAACTCTATGTCGACGAACTTTCGGCTCACGTTCAAACTGTGGGATGTACTGCGAGACCTCGCATTGTATCGAGATGAGGGGTTGCCCAGAGCATCATCAAATTTTTCTTGGGATGAGATAAATCCTTGTCAATGACTTGCAAGAATCATAAACTGAGTTGTGAGTGTTGAAGCAGAAAATGTAAGCACACCGACAGATAATAAAAAAAAAGTGACCCAAAGCTAGATTTATATTTTTTTTTATTAACTGTCGGTGTGAAGGTCTATCTAGCTGTGCCAATTGATCCGGCAACGGTCGGCGGGCCGGCCCGTGATCCTGACACCAGGTCTGTGTCTGTAACTGCCATCTCCCAAGTCCGCCTAGTGTCGTTTCCTGTCCGTCCAGTTTCCAACTATTCTGGCAAGCGGGATCAACTATGTGCTCTTGAATTCGGAGCCCTGCTTTTTATCGAAGGTCGCGTTTTTAAGCGACGCAAGGGAGGATACGATGGTCGCCTGCCCTGTAAATCACAGGGGCGCTACAGTCGCTTCCGGATGTAACTGCTTCTTCGTATCCTCCAATGTCCTATCGTGCGACTCACAGTCGCGAGGAGATCAAGACGCAGTCAGACCTCTCGGCAACTTCCGGTCCGCAGCTGCCAATTGCTATTAACTAACTGCTGCGCTTCTGTCCGCCGCGTCGACATGTCCAGACAGACTGCGGGTCCCATACTTTCCTTCTGGTCGCTATGAAAATCGCCATCGTGGGCGGTGGCATCAGCGGCATCGCTACGTACCTCGCCCTCCGCAAACATCTATCAGATGCATCTCCCCCTGCTTCCATCGTTGTGTACGAGGCGCTGCAGTCCATCGACGCGGCAATTTCGGCTCGCCGTGGCGGCTTTTTTCTTCCCCCGAACGGCCTGCGCGCCATCAAGTCCATCTGCGCCGATGCAGAGGAGTACATCCGAGACCAGGGCCGACCGTGCGAGGCGGTGACGCTCAGAACCTCGGCAGGAAAGTCGCTTGGAAAGCTGCATGCTGGTCGGAAGACGAGATACGGAATCGGACAGGTGGCTGTCTCGAGGGCGGCTGTGTACGAGTCGCTGTTACGGGAGCTCCGACCTGGTGTTATCTGTTGGGGACGCAAGGTCCGCTACGTCAAGGAGCATGGAGACTGTGTCAAGATCTCTCTGGAAGATGGGTCTGAAGATACGGTGGATGTCGTTATTGGCGCAGATGGATTGCACAGTGTCGCGCGCAAGGCTATCTATCCTCAATCTTGCAGCCCTCGAAACGAGTGAGTGCATCGCACAGTCGGGCACCTTCCCCGACCCATGCTTTACAGATTGAGACTCACTGCCAATGGATCTGCCCCTCTGTCCGCTCTTCCCGCGACCTTGAGGATACCGGTCGAGCAGGAATCTGCGGTCCTGACTTTCGGCGCTGCGGGATGTTTTGGCTACGCTCGGATGTCTCGCGATGATCTCATGTGGTGGTCTACCTTCCCTCAGCACGAAGTATCGATCGCGGACACACCACTGGAGCAGCTCAGGAGCCGACACGCTCGTTGGCAGTCACCGATCGATACAGTGGAGGGACGCATCTTCCGAGACATAATCGCACCCGCCGCCACTGAACACGCGCAACTGCAATCCGGGCCGCTGTCCAATCTCCCGTTCCTACCCCATTGGAGCAGTCTCTCGGGTTCTGGGCGCATCCTGTTAATAGGGAATACCGCACACCCTATACCCCTGCAAGTCGGCCAAAGCTTGTCCTGTGCCGTGGAGGACGGGCTTACCATCGCCCTCCTGCTCAAGCATTATCGGGTGTCCCATCGCTTCAGCGTCGAGGAGTCGCTGAAACGCACGGGAAAAGCTTTCGAAGATCTCAGGATGAAGCGTGTCCGACGAATCCTGCGCGTCGCTCAGCTTTCTGTCAAGCTTCTCAAATCACGCAAGAGATGGGTGCAGGCGCTACGAAATTGCATAATCTGGATAGCTCGTGCGTTATTCAGTCATACTTATTCCGGCACGATCTCATGTCGTCCATCAGAGAAACTACCCGAAGCTATGGCCGATCCTCTGTATCGATACGACGTGGAAGTCGAAATCGCGAAATACATTCCAAAATCCGACTGCGAGCCGAAAGTCCGTCGGTATTGAGCACGTCATTCATAATTACAGTATGTAGCTGTGCGCTAAATATATGACCCTGTATACATGAACTGCCGCGAAAGTACACCCTAAATAGACATGCGTGTCTGAGTTTCCGTCTAGCGAGATATCACATCGGGGGATGGCTTTGATTCGGGATGCGCCAGACTGTTCCGAGGAATGCGCTCTGGTAGTCCCCTAAATCATTTGGACATCGCGACCCCACAGCTAGCCATGGCATGAGTACATCGCGGTGAGACTCGTGACGAGAATTTGTCCGGACCATGCTCAGATCGTCTTTCTCAGGCTGAGATATCAGGCCTTTCCATGCTTCGTGGTCAGACTTGGGATATATCCTTTACCTGATTTCTTGAGGCTGGCCGAGAGCGCGGAATGCATCGCAAATTCTGACTGCGAGCCGGAAGCTCGCCCGGGTCCAGGTAGTTACACCTTGCCTAGAGCAAATCAGGTGTTCAGCTGTGCTTTCAGTGGAAGAATATGAATGGAAGGCTTGCTCTGCGCGCGAGCATATTTCTTACCACACGCAGACGACAAGAATGCCAAGTTATATCCAAGACAACGCGTGCACAAGTTTATATAAGAACCCAGGTATTTACATGTTCAACGACCAGCGCGAGAGCTCTCTGACAGCTTGGTCGCTGAAACAGCCAAGTATGCAGCCCGCTTTGAAGGACCAGGGGAGTCGTCGCCGAGGTTGCCCTCGTCTTGGTCTTCAATCGCGCGATCTCGCTTAACCGAACGGGGAATGACCGTTGCAGATGCAGGTTGAACCGCTTCAGGGAGGCTTTCAATGCCCTCATTGAGGATGGCGATATATCGATCGTATTCTGCCGTAGCGCGTTCAATCGAGTAAACCGCCAATGGAGCGGGCTTGGATCGCGTGACCGTTGCAGTTTCAACTTCCAATATACGTTGTTCCAGGAACTTGGCCAAGCCTTCTAGAACTGTCTCCGCCGCATCGGAATCAGAGCCGGAGTAGCGCTGAGCGGGGGGCCAAAGATAAGGCCTCGTCACAAACAGAGTCTTCGAGGCGATGACGAGATGGGGCATGGAAGACCCGTCGTCCCAATCTCGGAAGTTTTGCAGACCTTGCCATTCGCGCAATTGGTTGTAATCCATCAATGCCCGAGAAAGGACGTAGAAGACCGATTCGAGATCATCCATGTTGTCTTGATGATGCAGGGTGCTTTGGGTGGAAAATTTGTTGACCATGGTCAAGCCTTTGACGGACCGATATGCGATAGTGCCCTGGTCATAGACGAATGAGACGAAGAGAAGGTACGAAGAAGAAACTCTCACTGTGCGAGCATCCTCTTCCGTAACAACACGACCCTGCATATCTTTGATATAGACAGCCAGGTCCCAGTCGATGATCACGGCCTGGGCGCCCGGCCGTCCCGACAATAGCAGATTCGTGAGGCTGATATCTCGGTGCAGGATGCCCTTCTCGATGAGAGCGGCCTTGTGTCCTATGATAGCTGCACGTTAGAATGAGACATGACGACCTGATCAATGCTCACCTCGCACGATCGAGCGCGCACCAAGCAGAAACTCCCGGAGCGATGTCGCCGTCTCGAGTGTACCAGCATACCGCAGAGTCACCGTGCGCTCTCTGTACCGTGACACCACTGGCACAGGCGTCTCGCCGGCGCACACCATCCTCTCGTCAGGCGCAAACCCGCGGCCGATGTGGGTGGCCTCAATATCTCGTTGCCAAGCGAACATCTGTGCAACGCCCTCGATTCCCGCTAGGTCATAAAGGAAGATCGATTCGCTCGTCCGACCCTCGGCACGCCAGTAGTCCTTGATGAGATACTCTTCGCCGTCGTGCGTGCCCACCCAGCACACAGTCCCCCGCGACCGGATCGTGCGCCTCGAGAACACCGGATCGTCCTCCAGAGCGAACGTGATCGTGGCACTCTCTTTATTGGGTCTCCATTTGCGCTCGCTGAAATCCCACGTCTCCTCCGGCACAAAGCTCAGGAATCGCTTGCCGTCTCTCCAGAAGATCGACGTGTCGAAGCCCACAAGTTCCTCGTCGGTGGAGGTGAGCAGAAACACGAGCTGGACGAAGAACACTGCGTCCTCGTGGTAGTCGATCTCCTGGGAGTAGTAGCAGCCCGATCGGTCGTACCGGCACACACGAACGGTGTCGCCAGTGATGAACGTCGCGTAAACGAATCGCCGGTTCGGCTGTTGAATGAACGTCTCCCTCGCATATACCGCGATCTGCTGCTGCTGCTCGTCGAGAAACGTCGGGGCCACCTTGACCTCCCACAGACTGACGACCTGCGAGTACTTAGGCTGCGGTGCGATCGCACGGTCTTTGGTCGCTGACGGGCCGACGCCGAGAATCGTGATGCCAGGCTCGGATCGCAGACCCTTGACATTCGTTGCGTCGTTCGCGTTGTGCGGCATCTCCACGTTGCACGACCTGACGGCGCGACGTTCAATATCTCCAGACGCCGTCGCTTTCTTCAAGTTATCGAAACGCTCCATGATGGCGGTCATTGCGGCGACGAGTGGCGCGTGCAAGTCGACCTCCTTCTTCGACTTGCCGGCCTTCTTGATCGCGACCCACACTTTCTTCTTGTTGCTGTACCCGTGGTGCTGATCGAGACAGGCGGCAGCATCCTGGGTAGTGCAGCCGTTGGCTTCTGCGAGTGCCTTGAGGTGTGCCTTGAAAGGGAGTGTTGCGCGGTCCTCCTCGACATATGCACCTGCGAGCTCGAGCTGAACGGCGAGCTGCAGATTGGCTATGGTGGTGTATGCGTTCTCAGATTCCTCCGAAGATTGCTCAGGGGGAGTGACGCTTTGAGACATTTTCCTTTTGCCTTTCGGTGCGCGCTGGATCTGGGTCAGTCGAAGGCCAGAGGCCAGAATCGATCTGGTTCGCACCGGCTGTCCACTGCCCGCCTGCGCTGGATCCGTACTGCTGTCTTCCAAATTGCTCTCCGCTCAAGAACGCCAAATCCTATCGCACAGAGAAGGCTGACTGCGTCGCACAGAATCGGAGTGGCTCGCGACGTTATCGCCCGTCGAGAGTGGCGTGAGTTTCTGAGGCCTCTTCTGGCGAGCCACTGCTTTCTCGATTGAGTCGTGGTGTTGGCAGGATGCGATGATAGGGGTAGGTTTATAAGGATTGATCTGCGATACAAAGTGACCAGGAAAAAAACAATGAAAAAAATCTCTTTGCGGGAGAAGAAGACTTTGATCCGTCGTAGAAATCGTTCGGTAAATCGACATCCGTTTTCAATATCTACTATCTATCTGTCTTCTGACACAAGAATGCTGAAATCAGACTTCTGTACTAGATTGTCACGTCTTTTCTGTGAAAAAAAAAAACTAAAGCCCTCTGCAGTGTGTCCTACTGCTTGGCCGAGATCAATGGGAGACAAAGACAATGCCATCGCGGACAAGGTTTGAGGAAGAAAGACAGAACGCTAACGCGCTGGTCGATGCTGCAGTCACCCTCCAAGTTACGACAATCCTCTACAGTACCACATCTACCTTACAACCCCTACAACCCCACCCCCCCTTCGCGCACAACGGCTGAATAGCCCAGCCTATACCTCCTTCCTCGCTGCCTCCGGGCACCGCGTCTTAGTACTCAGTTACTTGTTGCGGAATACAAATGCAGATTCAAACAAAACAAACAAGCTGCAGTCACCTGATCGCATCTCATTTGGGCACGTGTTAAGAGTGGAGTCGGGTCACATGGCTCGAAGCCAATCAGCTTGAGGATGAGGCAATACGACCTCGAATCGTCCCTCCATTGGCCTTCGATGCGTGCCGGCCATTCGTTTGCTCAACGGTTGGAGCTACATACTTCTTTCGGTGCGAATATCTGTGTCAGGCTTGCAGTCAGTCACTCTTTCGGAGCCAATGCGTTATCGTGGAGCAGCCTTCGCCTGCATCTAATTGGGCAAGCGTCCGTTCCTCTCTTGCCTGTGCACTTGGTGGACGGCGTGAATATGATCCATACACGCACAGTCTGCTCCAGGTCGACACTCAATGTGACATCATCAGATCACGATAATCGATGTTCCAAAGACCCAGACGGCCAGGTCTGGCCCTTGACATGCATTCTCTCTCATTCACCGCGAACGCTTCTAGACCACGCTTTTCCAGTCCACCGCATATCTTTGCTCCTCACGGCGAATTATGAGAGTATAAAAGCACACTCGGCTGGACAGCACGCCCTCCAACTTGAAGCTGCTCTGCTGTCAACTACTCATGTCTTCTATCGTCATCCCCAAGACTCAACGGGCAGCCGTCGTGGCTAGCAGTGGTGCTGCCATCGAAGTGCGCGAGGACCACCCCGTGAAGTCCGCCGAGGAACTCGCCCCAGGCGAATGCCTGGTCAAGCTTGTTTGCACCGGGGTATGTTTCATTCTCCAAGTCTATCTCTGCCGCGCCAATCTAATACCGGATCATGCCAGGTCTGTCACACGGATCTGCATGCAGCCTTGGGCGACTGGCCTCTTGCTGCGAAGACACCTCTGGTCGGTGGTCACGAGGGTGTCGGCATCATCGTCGCGATTGGCGCCAACACGAGTCGCTCGCCGGTCAACGTCGGGGACCGCGTGGGAATCAAATGGCTCGCAGACTCGTTCGTCGCATGAACTTCTGGATCTGATCCATCTCATCTCATACGGAACCGCAGATGCCTCAACTGTGAACAGTGCCGGAAAGGCCACGAGCAGAGTATGTCTCGTCTTCTCGTCTCCTCGTCTGAAGTAGATCGCTGATATCTCCCGCGCAGACTGCCTCGAGGCGAAGCTGAGTGGCTTCAATGTTGATGGAACCTTCCAGCAATATGTCGTGAGTCTGAATTCAGTTACAAGAGTGCAGATCATCATCTATACTTTGACTGCAGGTCTCGTTTGTGAACCACGTCACTCCGATCCCCGAAGGCTTCGACAGTTTCGCTGCTGCCTCCATTCTGTGCGCTGTATGCCGGCACTTTCTTCTTGATGATCGGTAATGATTAAGGCTCATCTCAGGGTGTCACTGTGTACCGCGCCATCAAGTACAGCCAGACTAACCCTGGAGACTGGATTGTGCTTCCAGGTGCTGGAGGAGGACTCGGCCATCTCGGTAGGCAACGTTGTTCTACGACATCTATGCCATCTGAGCAGCTCGTAAGCCATCCAATACGCGCGGGTTGCTGGTCTTCGTGTCATAGCCATCGGTGAGTACTCCTGTCGAGACGGGATGCGCACAGAACTAACATCCCCATGCAGACTCGGGTGCCGACAAGCAGAAGCTCTGCCTCGAACTCGGTGCAGAGAAGTGGATCGATTTCAAAGAGTGTGCGGATATCGTGGGCGAGATTCGCTCGATAACAAGTGGACTGGGTGCCCACTCTGCGGTTGTGACCACGGCCAGCGTGCGTGCTTCTCGTTCGTGCATGTACCCAATTCGCTGACACGAGATGTTTGTTGTATGCAGAGCGCTGGATACCATCAGGCGATCGAGTACCTCCGTGGTGGAGGAACGCTCATGGCTGTTGGGCTGCCTGGACATGCGTCCCTCGAGGCGCCCATCTTCTTCACCGTTTTCAAGGTGACTTGGTCTCACGGTCTCTTCATACGCTTCGGTCGTTGAACGCGCTGCAGAGTATCAGTATCTTGGGATCGTATGTCGGCAACCGCCAAGATGCCAAAGAAGCCATCGACATCGCTGCTCGAGGGCAAGTCATCTGCTACTACGCGCTCAAGCCCCTCTCGGAGCTGCAAGAGTGCGTCCTTGTGTTTTACGCCTGCTGATTAACTGGTTGAGTGTGTGCTTGCAGAACGTACAAGGCTCTCGAGTCGGGCCATATTGCTGGCCGTGTTGTTTTGGAGATGCCGCAGTAGACGACCTCTGTGTCGTTAATAGGTGTAGATCTTGTTATAGTATGAATCTGTGTGTTGTAGAAATTTGGTATCAATTGAAAAACAGAGCTCATCTTAGGATCTATTTGCGATGTGTACTCGTCCACGATCAAGTGATCACCGTAACTGCCAGGGATGATTCGAGTGACAGCTGAGCGGCTTCGTTCGAAGATGTTAGGTAACCGATTGGATCGCCCTTTCAGCGATCAACAAGATGTATGTACTTAACCATCCGAGTCGACATGCTTGCTTAGGCTTGCTTCCAACCTTCGTGACTTGTATCGGATATCCCTCCTTTGCGATATCGGGATTTGCCATTGCGCTTCCACGACCATGTGGACGGCGATACGCCGACTCAGCGTGGGACTCCCGACCGGGGTGATTATTCCCAGGCGTGCAACGCATCCAGCTCACAAGACTGGTTTCCGGGATCACATTACCCAAGAGCCGACTCTATCTAGGAAATGGGGCTTTATTTCGGGCATTGGACTCCAAGGCGTGCCTGCTTTATAAGGCTTCTCCCTGGCTGTACCGCGAATCGGTGCCCGCATCGCCATGTTACTTCCGCTCTCGGCCGCCCTAGCGCTTATACGCACCCTCCTCGTCCGTGCATCTCCGCTCGCTCCCGGCGCACTGGATGTGAAGCTCTCGACGGGCACCGTCCGTGGCGTCTCCACTGCGAACGGCACAGAGAAATGGCTCGGCATTCCTTTCGCACAACCACCGACCGGAATCCTGCGCTTCAAAGCCCCCGTGCCAGCGCAGCGCTTCGCGGGCGTGCGAGATGCATCCAATTTTGGCCATGCGTGCCCACAGCCTGCGTCTTCGAGCCTCGGTGCTGAGGTTGCCGAGGACTGCCTGTTCTTGAACGTGTGTGGATCGGCTAAAGAAATCCCATTCTGAGCTGAGTTCCGTTTTGGTTCGTCTCTGATTAGGTCTGGAGGCCGGCAGGCACCCAGGCTGATGCTGAGCTGCCGGTGCTTTTCTGGATCCACGGGGGCGCCTATACGGTGGGGTGTGTGCGATCTTTTCGTCCGGTTTCTGCCACGGATTCGCTTATGCCGGCCATTGCTAACTCTTTAGGGCCGCTTCGTCGCCGCAAACCGATCCGACGCGTAAGATTCGGTTCTTTGGACGCCGGCGCCGGCGCAGCTGACCCGTGACCAGAGATTCTGCAACGGAGCACGGTCGACCAGAAACCCATCATCTTCGTTTCGACGTCTGTTTCTATTTGCGTAACGTAGCCATCAATCGCTGACCCAGTCGTCCAGGAATTACCGTGTCAACACTTTTGGTTTTGTGCGTTTCCGCGGGGGTATCTTGCTGCAGTTTGTAACGGCTCTATCATAGCTTGCCAGTGCGAGTGTGGCTCCGCAAGATCTTAACGCAGGGTTGCTCGATCAGCGGGAGGCATTGAGGTTCGTCAAAGAGAACATCAGGGCATTTGGCGGAGACCCGAACAAAGTGAGCGCGGAGCTTTGCCTTCTCAGTAGTGGACTGATCTTCTTGGCTCAAGGTCACGATTTGGGGTCAAGTGAGTGCACAATCGCGAGACCTGACTTTCGTTTGAAGACGATTGCAAGTCTGCTGGAGCAGGCTCGGTTGAAGCGCATTTCCTCTACCCGCCAGAGCAGTCTTTGTTCAGAGCCGGCATTGCGGATTCTTCTACAGGCCCGTTGTGAGTCGCACTTTATCTTCCGTTTTGGGCCGTCCACTCATCGGCAGCTTTACAGCAAAAATTCGCCCGATGTGCATACATATGACAAAGCTGGGAAGCCTTTCTCCCGTCTGCTAGCTTCAACGAAATGCGCTGCGGGCACAAGCGCCATTTCCTGCTTGCAGAAAGTTCACTTTGAGGTA